AGTATTTCAAGTTGAAGCTTGGATATTTTCTTTAGTTCTTTCACCTTGGGAAATGCTGAGTGTGTTCTTTCGTTTTGGTTTTCTAACTCCCAGTCTTTGCACATTTCATTATAATACTTGACTTTGTCTTCTGGAGCTACCCTTTGAAATGTTCTATTTCCTCATTTCTTCTATTTGCTTTAGCATGTCTATGCTGTCAGGCAAGGTTCAAAGTCTCTTCTGACATCCATTTTCATCTTTTCTTTCTTTCTTGTCTTATTAAAGATGTATTTATTACTTTTTCCTGGAAAGGTAAATTGTTGTTGTTGTTGCTAAGTACTATCAAGTTGTGTCTGATTCATAGTGACCCTGTATAGGGTTTCTGAGGAATGGCTAGTGAGTTTGAACCACTGGCCTTGTGGTTCAAACCAACCTGAGATTGAGTGTTTATCCTACGGTGCCACACCAAGAGTCTGGAAAGGTAAATACCCATGTAAAAATATTCTCTTTCAAACTCTTATATGTTTGTGGATTTACTCCCATTCTTCTTCCCATACTCATTCAACCTGTGTCTCTGTCTGTGTATCTACCCACAGAACAGTGGTGTTGCAAAGTTGTGCATATAATATTATTTACCTCTCTCCCCTTTACACTTTGCATAACGCTCTGTGTCTTCACATGCTTTTATTATTCTTCTGCCAACTTTCCTCTTTTTGTATATGCCCTCCTCCTTCTTATATATTGCCCTCACCATCACCCATCACCTGAGTTAACAAATGTCTACACTCTAGACAGTGAATTACTCTCCTAAGAATGTTACTTTTAGTATGAAATCTTTTTCTTGAATTTTTACAATAGTGACCATCAAATATTTATCATTTTGTGCTTGACTAATTTCACTCAGCATAATGTCCTCCAGATTTGTCCATGTTATGAGGTATTTTGCAGATTCATTGTTATCCTTTAATGTTTCATAGTATTCCATTGTGTGTATGTACTAAAATTTGTTTTATCCATTTTTCCATTGATGGACATTTAAACTGTCTTCATCTTTTTGCTATTGTGAATAGTGCTGTGATGAACATTGGTGTGCATATATCTACTCATGTCCTTGTTGTGGATATATACCAAGTAGAGGGATTGCTGGGTCCTATGGTATTTCTATTTCCAACTTTCTGAGGACGTACCATTCCATTTTCGACAATGGTTGAAACATTTTACAGTCCCACCAGAAATTCTGGAGGGTCCCAGTCTCTCCACATGCTCACCAGCATTTGCTGTTTTCTATTTTTTCGTACTTTGCTATTAATGCTGGTGTGAGATGATTGATATCTCATTGCTGTTTTTATTTGCATCTTTCTAATGGCTAATGATTGTGACCATTTCTTCATGTTTATTGGTTGCCTGAATGTCTTCCTTGGTAAATGCTTTTTTTAAAATAAATTATGTAACTTGAAATATATATAAATTCATCATCTCAAAAAGCCTTAGTTACTTAATTTAGATAAATCACTTGTTATTGGAATTCTTTCATTTACGTTTGTCATTACTATTTACTCATTTGTTCAGAATTCAGATGTGCACAGCAAATTTCTGTGGGTAAAATTTCTTGAGAATCACAGAGATAAAACAAAATACTTAAAAGTGTCAAATGAGAAATATCATTTCTTAAAAAGAGCACAGTTAAATAGCCATCACTTTCTTGATTTTCTCTGAACTTTTAAATTAATAATTCACATTTATTTGTCCTATTCGTTGCTTTAACTCAGACTTTCTGAAGACCATGCTTAAGAAAACCCTATTGGCATTATAAAATTGTTTAATTTTTGACTACTGTGTCTGACTACAAGTTGTGACTACAGGGAATAACTCTCCTTTTCTCATCTGTCCTCTGGGTTACCAATGCTTATGAGTCATCCCACAAGCTTCCAAAACACACCTGCTCTGAGTGTTGGTTAGAACACAATATCCAATATATGACAGGGACAAGAGAAGCAGAGGAACACATGTAAAGATGCCAGGGTGATGGTGTTGGAAACCTTTTGAAAGAAAGAACTGCCATGTGGTCATTTCACTTCAATAGTGAAGACTCCAAGAAATTGTTTCGTTATCAATGGAATTTTATAACCACAGTCATAATCAGGTATAGAAAATGCAGTCTGTATAATTTTGATTCTTAGTAATTGAATCAAACACAAGGCCTTACAGTCACATTGGGAGGCAGATTATCTCTTGGAGAAAAATGTACTGGTGATATGTATTTGGGTCATGGAAGGGAATAGGGTTGTTTTGATGGCTAAAGTGTTGAAGAGTAGGAAATCAAAGTGGCTGAGTGTTATGATTATTGCAGATGGGGTGGTCAAGAAATGGCTATGACTGGGAAATAGACCTGGTTATCATGATAAATCCTACAGGTGACCAAAAGATTGATTCTCATACAGCAGATCACAGCTGGACCTGACAACTAACATTTGGTGTTCAAACAGGTTTAGCATTTTGTAAACTAAACCTGAAAGTTCTAGCAAAATGAAAGTCAAGGGACGTGGAAGAGTTCGGTACTTGAATACTGAGAAACAATTGAGGGATGAGGGTCAAAGGGTGAATTCATATAGAGCTTAATGTTTTATCCTTCCGTTTAAAAATGACTCCTTAGAATCTGCAAAGAAGATTTATTTGCTAAGGACCTCTTTCCGTGGAGCAGGAAGCAGCAGCTGGTGGTGTTTTCATAATAATTTAGATATTCTGGCAAGCTATCAAAGTTCTAGGAGCATGGGATCTTAAAATTCTCTCCCCCTTTCCCTCTTATCTACTCTGACTGCGTGAGTTGATGGCTAATGTCATGCTCACTAGCATGGTACTCTCAAATCCCCTCCTTCTATCTTCTTGTTCCCTTGTCTTCTCTTGAAACTGGCAGCTCTTACCTTTGGAGTGAAATTACTGTCAGTAATTTCAAGCCCTTTGAAAAGGAAGGCTCCATTGAGATTCCACATGCCAAACTGACTTTAAAGGGGGGAGAATGGAAAAAGAGAGCAGTCACTTTGAATGATTTCAAAATGACTTTCTATATGCTTTTCCATAAAAAGCAGCAGCAATAGGAGCAAGAACAGGTTTAACTCAGAAAGGATTATCCTGCATGATGATTTATTATTCTTCTTAGGTTATAATTATGTGCTCAAATGATAATGATGGTAATAAAAGTGATCATTTACACAGAGCAATATTGTATGCCTTTTTAAAATGTTTTTATTGTGGATTGAGTGAAAGTTTATAGGAGCAGATCATCAGTTTTGCATTAAACAAATCATACACCTTGTTTTATTACAATGATTATAATCCCTTCCATGTACCATCAGTTAACAAACAGTATTTCTCTCTATTCACTTTAGCACTTTAAAAAAAAACACCAAAAAAACATACACAAAAAAACCACTCAGGCATATATAATAATTTATACCATCAAAGGGTATATTCTGCAAGTCTGCCTCCTGGCCACCAGCTCTTAGTCTCTCTCTTTCTATGAATCTAGAGTCCTCAGCTGCTCCCTCTCTCCATGTCCCCATCTCTGCCTCCATCTCTGGTATCACTGCTTCTCTGGATAAGGTCTCGCATTCCACTGTGCTCTTCTCCCTTGATGGTCCTAGGGCCTCTGTTTCTGGACTGTAAGATTAACTACTCCCCCATTTTTGTTACAAAACTTCTACTTTTACAACTGTGACAATCACAATTAGTCATGATAACAATTACTCATTGAATTATAAGAATGTTATCCCCATCTCTTTTAACTAGACCCATCTAGACAAGATGAAAACTATTCAGTGGGGACTCTTTTCCTCCCCACTCACTATTAAACTAAACTCCTTCTTGAAACCTTGTAAGCCAGTCACTTCGTGCCTTTACCACCCCTTGTATACATTTTTTAAATGTAATATATATGTATTATGATATTTAATTATCTTAAACCTATTGTTGTTGTTAAGTGCTGTCAAGTTGGTTCAGACTCATAGTGAACCTGTATAGGATTGCTAAGGAGTGGCTGGTGGGTTTAAACTGCCAACCTTGTGGTTAGCAGTCCAGTGCTTATCATACAGCACCACATCAGTACTCCATAAAACCCTGGTAGGGTGGCATGCTATTCCAGGTTTCAGAATAGAAACAGACCCAGGAGTCTGTATCCTTAGCCATTGCACCATGTTATCTTCATGTTTTGGGCTCCAGGTATTAAAAAATACCCAGGCATATTTTTAAAATATCTGTACTTTGTCAAACATGCCTTGCTAGAGTGACCTCAATCAAAATGTACTTCTATTCCTTGATGCCTCTGAGATATCATTGTTGTGTTGTTGTTAAGTACAGTCAGGTTGGTTCAGACGCATAGAGACTCTGTAATAGGGTTTCCAAGGCTTAAAAAAAAAAAATCTTTGTGGGAGAAGAAAGACTCATTTTTCTCCCACGGAGTGGCTGGTGAGCTCGAATTGCCGGTCTTGTGATTTATAGTCCAGTGCTTTTCCTTCAGAGTCACCACGTTCCACTGATACATGTTGTTGTTGTTGAGTGCTGTAGAGTCGATTCCAACCCATAGTGACCCTGTATAGGGTTTCCAAGGAGCAGCTCGTGAGTTCAAACCACCGACCTTGTAGTTCAAATGGCTTTGCAGTCTGGAGCATTAACCCACAGAGCCACACCAGGACTGAGACATCATACTAACCATTAAAATATTTGCTCAGCTGCTTCAGTGTGCTGACATTGCTGACTTCTTCTAAATCATACTTACAGCTCCCATTACAATTCATCACACTTGCATTTAATTACTTGTTTTTATTTTTGTGTTCTTATTTGAACTATGATTTTTAAAAATACAGTCATAGTATCTCGTCCATCCTTATGTTTTAAGTGACTGACCCATATTTTCTGGTTGATTGTGATATAAATGAGAATCAATATAATATGAAAATTGGTTGGAGTACAAGAGAAATTTCATTGCCAATTTTTTCTGTATCATTTCTAGGGATAACATTTTGTAAATGGCTTTGAGGAATCACAGTACCATCAATGAGTTTATCCTTCTGGGGCTATCTGCTGACCCCAAGGTCCAGGTTCTGCTCTTTGTGCTCTTCCTGGGGATTTACCTCTTCACTGTGATGGGAAACCTGATGCTGCTGCTGGTCATTAGGACTGATTCTCACCTCCACACACCCATGTACTTCTTCTTGAGTCACCTCTCTTTCATTGATCTCTGCTTCTCTTCAGTCACTGTACCTAAGATGTTGGAGAACCTCCTGTCTCAGAAGAAAACCATCTCTGTAAGTGGCTGCCTGGCTCAGATATTCTTTATAATTACCACTGGAGGAACTGAAACCTGCTTGCTCTCAGTGATGGCCTATGACCGCTATGCTGCCATCTGCCACCCGCTGCTCTATGGCCAGCTGATGAATAAACAGTGGTGTGTGCAGCTTGTGTGGGCCTCATGGGGCCTGGGCTTTCTGGATGCACTCATCAATATCATCCTGGCAACGAAAATGGATTTCTGTGATGCTTATATGATCCCGCACTACAGCTGTGAGTTGCCATCTATCTTCTCTCTATCTTGCTCTGATGTCTCCACCAACCTCATCGTCATGCTCTGCTCCATTATTCCACATGGAATTATCACTTTCCTTTTGATTTTTTTCTCCTACATCTGCATCATCTTCACCATCCTTAGCATCACTTCTACCTCCAACAGAAGCAAAGCCTTCTCCACCTGCTCCTCCCACCTCACTGCAGTGATCTTCTTCTATGGGTCAGCTTTTCTCCGCTATCTTGTGCCAACATCAGACTTGCCACTGGGGTTGATCTTCTCTGTGTTGTACAGCGTGATCACTCCCATGCTGAATCCCCTCATTTACAGCCTGAAGAACAAGGAGGTAAAAGCATTTGTGAGAAGAACACTAGAAAAGTACTCACAGAGTTTTCCGTGGCGGAATAACGAGAAAGAATAAGAGGGATTTCAGTTAAAAATACTTGTAGGAAGACATTTAAGAGAACTATCTGACTGCTCGTTCGGTAAAACAAAATCAGAAATGCCTAAGAATGAAACACAGACCGATTATAGAACTGATCATTAGTTCAATCCCTCTCAGAGGCAAAAGAAGGGATTAAATACTCATGTCAAACTATAAAATTTTATTACAAATATGTTCACCAATAATTCTCTCATATGTGTGTCTGGTGTATTTTTATGCATGTGTGTGTGTGTGAAGGTTTGTTTGGTATAGATTCTCTATCATTATTTGGAGTTTAAGTTTGGGAAAGGCACTAAAAGTCGTAGTTTTTCTAAATAGAAAAGTGTCTGAATTTTGGGAGTAGGAAGGTCATAAAGAGTTCATAGGAGTTTAGGGGAATGAGTTCTAGTTATATTTTCAGGGAGCAAAATGAATGAGCCACCATAATAGGAATATAGCCTTCCCAAATGTTTGTTATCACTTCTAGCATAGCTTATCTGGTTGTGTTCATTTCCCAGTCTTAAGTGGGCCCACAACCTGGTAGCGTAGTGGTTACGAGTCAGGCTGCTAACCACAAGGTCAGAAGTTTGAAACTAGCAGCCATTCCCTGGGAGAAAGATGAGGCTTTTTGCTCCCGTAAAGATTTAAAGCCTCGGAAACTCTATACAGGGTCACTATGAGTCAGAACTGACTCCACAGCGCACCACCACAGTCTTAGGAAGAAGGACTCTTTTAGGAAAACAGGGCAGAAAAAGATCAGAAATATTAGGGCAATGCAGAACCCTAGTGTATCTGAGGTAATCACTAGACCAGTGAATATCAGGGTCTGCAGAAGAAAGACTAAAGTTCTCTTCAGAACTCTTCCATAATGCTTAAAGATAGGACTTTGGAATAAAAGGAGTGTGTAAGACTACTTCCAAAATAAGCATTTGCAGGTTAGGTTACCGGCAGATTTGCAGAATAGGACCTACTTGGTAACCTCTGCCATTTCTTTGTAGATTCTTCCCAATCTTTGATACTTTTGTTAAGTGCCCAGGGCTACACTATTTTCCTAGAAGAGTCTTAGATTTCCTTAGTGACCAAGGAGTCAACTTGGACTTATAGTGATCGAAAAGAATAGTGATGGTGGTTATGTGCCATTGAGTCGGAACTGACCCATAGCAACCCTCCCTGTACAGGGTTTCCAAGGATGTAAATCTTTATGGAAGCAGAAAGCCTCATCTTTCTCCTGCGGAACAGCTGGTAGTTTCACACAGCTTACCTTGTGGTTCGCAGACTGATTCGTAACCACTACGCTACCAGAGCTCCTTACAGAAAAGAGTAGAACTGCAGTGTAGAAGAGTTTTCAAGCCTGTAATCTTTATGAAAACAGTTTGCTACATGTTCCTCCTGTAGAACAACTAACTGGTGGGTTCAAACCACTGGCCTTGCCGTTAGCAGCAGAGTGTTAACCAATGGGCCACCAGGGCCCCTTTCTTTCTGCTTTTAAACACACACACACACAACTTCTTATTATGATTTAGGTGAAAGTTTACAGAGCAAATTGGTTTTCTATTTACCAGTTCATACACCTTTAGTTTTGTAACATTGATTGCAATCTCTACAATTGAACGACATTCTTTCCACTTCCTCCCTGTTTACTGTTTCCATTTATTCTTCTCTGTTTTCTATTCTTGCCTTCTGAACTTTATACCCCAGCAAATGCTACCCTTTTGATTTGGTATGATTGATTGTTCAAAGTGTGTGTACCTCCCTGGTGTGGTTTTTCACTTTTTAAGCCTGTCTACTGTTTGGACTCCATGGCACATAATCACCACCACCATTGTTTGGATGGAGTCCTGGTGTGGCCCTGCGGGTTACTGTGTCAGACTGTAAAGCTATTTGAACTGCAAGATCGGTGGTTCAAGCTCACCAGCTGCTCCTCGGAAACCCTATACAGTGTCGCTATGGGTCAGAACCACCACCACAACATTGTTTGGATGGACTTCCAGTGTGGTGTTATAGGATCAATACCGGACTGCAAACCACAGGTCGGCAATTCAAACCCACCAGCTGCTCCTTGGAAACCCTATACAGGGTCGCTATAAGTCGG